GGTATGGGCGCGACACTGAGGGTTGCGATCCGTTGCCGGTCACGAAAAAAGACAAAAAGGAAAAAAAAAAAAAGAAATAATTTTTCTCATAATGACTACTATTTGCTAAGAAGATCTGAAATTCCATGATAATTATCAGAGAGAAATAAAATTCTTTTCAGTTGCACATTAGGGCTAGGTTTATTTAATATTTTTTGGTAATAGTTTTTGCAAACTTGCTTACTTAAGAAAAAGTAAATTAGTTATAAAATAGTATAAAACAGAAAAATACGGAGAAATAGTGTAACTAGAGCATTCCTTTCCTTGACATTCTGTTGGATAGTTTTTATAATTTCAGGGCTCTCTGCCTCAGTTTCCAATGCCCTCTGGGTCTACAACATCTAAACATCATAGGGGAAGGCTGGGTTTGGAACTGCGAAGAATGTAAAGTAGTAGTTCCCAGCCTGAACTGCATATCAGCATAGTCTGTGGGCCTTTTAAAAAAATATATAGATGTTCAGGGTCTACTCTAGATCCATGAATCAGAATCTTCTGGGATAAGTCCTGGGGTGATAAAGACAACGCGTGTTTGCCACCTGGATGCATTCATCAAAGCTTTATTGCACTGGGTTTTCCCTCATCTGAAAAAAACATTCAAAGAGATTGTGAGAATCCATCAGTAAGCATTTTAAAACAGTTTGCATGACTTGACATCTTTTAGGTTCTGTGATATAGTGATCTATCTACATCTTCACTATAACATACTAAATCCTTAAATCTTGTCAAAAAGTAACAGTGTTAAATAAGGATACCTCACATGAATCATGGGCAAATTATTTTCTTTTCTCTGCCTCAGTTTCCTCCTCATTAAAAGGGATATAATAATGGTAACCTACTTTTTAGGTGTGAGGATGAAATGAGATAATTAATGCAGAGCAGTTGGCACAGGATCTGGTTCAAAGTAAAGCCCTCAATAAATATTATCTAGTTTTGATTTCCCTCCAGCCTGAATATTATTAGGTTGAAGTTGCTGAAAATGTAGTAGCTGTGGGTCAGGGTGGTTACTGCCACTCTGAGTTATAGCTGTAAAATCCTTAAAATCAGATTTAAAAAGGCAGCATTTCGGGGCACCTACAGTTCTGTTTCTTCTGGTTTAGTTTGCTCTCTCCTTTGGTACAGAGTCCTTCTAGGGATAGTGTTGATGTTATCTGTCTCAGAGGGTTGTTGTGAAGATTAAATGTGGAATGCTTCCAACTGCTTGGCACACAGTAGTTGTTCAAACTTGGTAGTTTTTGTCATCACCAACACCCCCATCATGATCAAACTTAGCATCATCATCATGATGGACTTGTCCTATCAGTTAGAACTTTTCTGATTGACTATATAAGATTATGCTTACTAATTCCATTTGATTGAATAGGTATTGATTGAGCACTTACCATGATAGCTTCTCTCCTCTGTTATGCTTGCCATTCTGTGCCTGTTAGTTCACCACTCTTTTGTTTACCTCTTATCCAACCCCTTCACCATACGCTTACCATGTCCTGTGAATTCACTCCTCCATCATCAACAGCCTCTTCTATCTCCTCAACCTTTCCTTAGCCATTCCTCCCTCCTTTGCCTTAATCCTGACCTTCCATGGGGATAACCTTTTCTCGAAGCTCTCAAGTGATGCCTGTATTTTCTCATCCCTGCATATCTCAGGATTGGGGGTTTGAGATTTGTATCCTCCCTGCTCTTTGTTCCCTCACCCATTTATTTGCAAGACGTTGTGTCCAGCCAGGGCTGTCCTCCCCATTGCCGCTGTCTGCCTTCTCCTGGTTATTCATCTAGTTCATTGAAGACTTGGGTCCTGGCTCACAGACTTCCTCTCCACCTTAAGTCTTGACACATCCTAGTGACTTTAGTGTC